TTCAAATTTATGAATTTGATCCAAAAATTTTTTTCAAACATTCGCTATCAACAATGTCAGCCGGATTTCATAGCAGCAGTTTTTTTTTGATCCGTGGAATGCAGTACGCAATGATTTTAATTTTCAAAATTCTACATTGACTGGAAATAAAAACAACTTTGAAGCTATACTGAATTGTCTACGAGGTTGTCGTAAAGACTGCCTTTTTTTTACACTACATTGCAAAAATTCTCTGAACATTTTGCAAAATGTAGTGGCAACACAACATTAATATTCTGAAAACAAGATGTTTTGTCATTTATTTTGATAAAAGTTTTGTAGTACTATTAACTAAAGCTAAAGTGGGGTCACATGGGAGGGGAATGATATTCTATATATCAAATAAAAAGTTCGCTTTTCTCTCACTGTTAAGATGAAAGAAAATTCCAGCAAAGCTTCACAGTAGCTACGTACCAACGAATTCCAATGCGTTTTCTTCTGAAAAATTGTAGAGTTTCCGAAGAATACTCCTTAATGGGTTGTCAATCACTTAGAATCAGAACTAAAGTAAAAAAAAAGATGATGAGAACTGTGTTGACTTTATGGCGTAGCTTAGTGAGACGTGATGATGTGTTTGAAGCTCTTTCAGAGTTTGCATTCGCTTTCCATGGATAAATAGCCATATAAGGATGCAAAATGCTTCAGTTTAAATAATGCACTGTTGCGCAAATACGGTTGCAAGCTGAGTAGTCTATGCTGCACATTAGATTATAAAGATTTTTACTTCTACAATATAAAGATTTTCACTTCTACATCTAATTCTATTTCGACAATGCATATAGTGCTTTTCTAATCTCCAGCAATCTCAAGCAAGTGGCCCCTTTGTAAAGCATTTGAATCTATAATATATTGAGTTTTTTTCTGATACAAATATTAGTTCATAAATTTGTGGAACTTGTGAAAAAAAAGGAAACGTTTGGCATATTAAATGACATATTCCTATGAAAATCAACATTTCTTTTCTTTTGAGGTTGCGTCCGCTATGTCAAAAATGAGCTAAAGATCAACATCTGTAACTGCAGTTTCTGCTCAGAATTCTTGAAATAGAGGCTTTGTAGGGGTAATAAACATGAATATGTGTTGAGTATTAATAAGGTGACGACTTTTTTTTAATGAATTTGAATACGACTTTTAAAATCTGTCTTCTAAAAAAATTTTCAATCACTTTTTTTTGAATGACGGACGAATTCTAGAATACGTACCGCTAATATCTGAACATTTTCTAAAAAGTATGTAAGTAACAAAGCAAAAGTTGTATAACACTCTAGTAATCTCCTTTCTAAAAAATGTTTTCTTCAGCAATCATCTCAAATGCTTCTTCTATGCTAGAACGAAATTTTTTTTTGGAGATTTAGCGACTAAATTCGAAATAATTCGAAAATATTGGTGGAATCTGAGCAAGAATTAATCAGTCTGGTTTTGATGCGTAATGATATAGCCATTCACTAAAGAATATCTTTGAAATGATATGGTGAGGAGTTCCTAGAATCGAAAACGTCACACTAGATTTTTTTTTCATACATTCGAAACTTTTTCCAAGTACTCGAATCTTGTCCTTTTTTCTTTAAGCCTGCACTACATGGAAGAAGAAGAAAATGCAAAAATTGAGCAAGAGCTCATGAGATGCATGTTACAGAGGTCCAACTTGATTGCAGATGAGAGATTCTTGGTCATAGCAGATATTTTGCAGTATCTCTATTTGCTCTTTTCCTTTCTTTCAGATTCACTTTTTTTTCTAAAAGGTATATGCACAGCGCTTGATGAAATGAGCTTTTTTTTGAATTTGTATATGCCAAAAACAATTACATTTTGAAATCGCGGTATACGAGATTCGAAGAACAAAGCTATTGGATTTTTTTTCTAAGCAGCAGCAATGGCTGTCATCTGTCTTTCAAGACATGCGACTGTTCCTCAAGTTTGAGGCTTTCAGAATCTACAAACTTGAAAAAACGATGGGTCTGCTCCTGAGCCTTAGATGACACGAGATCTGATCTGTGCATGATCGATTTGCTGGCATGATCAGTTATCAACAATATGGAAATATTGGCAACCATAGAAAATTTAACTCAGAAACTGCATAGTTCCTCTTGTGTCTTTTTAGCGGCGGCTGCAATGTGCGATCAAATATTCACTACTAGTCTCCGGATTGACTTGTAGGAGGCACGCGCCGAGACCGATGGTTGATGCATCGGTGTGGATGATATAGGGTTTTCCTAGAATAGGAAGCACTAAAACAAGCGCATCCACTAGGGCATGCTTTAATGCTTGGAATGCTATTTCTTACTCCTTGCTCCAAAAAAAACTGCATTTTTTTTATGCGCAGTTTGTTCAATGGATGGGAAATTGTAGCAAAACGCGGTAAATCTTCAAAAGTACGATCCTGCACTAAGAATGATTTGAGTGCTATTATTATCTGTGAGGCGCGGAATATCACCAAAGCTGTCGAAATTTTTTTTTATTGATCTAGACGTGTATCATTTTCATGAAACAACAAACAATATAATGTTGTGTATAGTATGAATATTTCTGAATATTTCAAAAGGTTTGAAGTGGTTTTGTATTCGACAGCAGAAGGTAAATATTACGATAATATAATTTGCGTAAGATATACGGCAACGGGACATCGGGCACAACTGTTGTTGTTGGCAGTATAAGTTGCATAAGAACAGAGGCTAAGGGGTCATACTGTGCAACTGCTGCTGTTGGACGTATACCATGATCGTAAAAGATTAGGTTACGCAATAATTAATCCTGTTCCAAGGCTTATCGCGACACAAAGCAGACGTATTTGCACTATCGCAGCTGAAAGGTCATAGCGCTCAAATAATATTAATTTGTCACAAAAAAATTTGTCGCGGGTCACATGCTTACAACTTGCGAGGGCAGCTGCGTTGCTCTATAGCCAAAGGGGGTCACCGCGCGCAGACAGTAGCACTGGGTTTTGCTATATTTCCTGAGAGGTCGTAGCATTACGTTTTGTCGACACTTCCCAGCAGAAGTTATCTGCAGTGGGCCAGCAGATTTATCTTTCTGGGTCTGATACTGCAGTGAATTTTGTGCTAGCAATTGCGAACAAGTCCATTGTCTAATTATAAAAAAGAAAAAAATAAAATAAGGTAACAAAAATTCACGGAATCACGGTTTCACGGATTCACGGACCACGGATCACGGAATCACGGATCACGGGAGATGCGAGCGCTTTGCGAAAGAAAGAATTGACAAAAATGGGACTGTTCGCAGGACTGTTATTTTTTATTTTATTTTACTTTATTTTATTTTAATTTAATTTATTTTATTTTACCTTCTAAAATGATTAAATATTTTCGCTGCACACGATTATTATAGATAAATTAACAAAACAGTTAGAACTCACACACTCGCTTTCATTCGTTGTTGAGTGACTCCATCCAGACGGTTGGAAGATTGTGGCAGAGGGGAGGAGGGGATCGAATATTATTTACCATATGGTTGATTGGTTGATAAAAAAATTTAATTTTAGAATTTGAGAAAAAAAAATCTTCCCGGGACTTCCATGTCAGGATAAAGGTTCATGACGCCTTTACCTGTGTGTAGCGGGTTTACATAGGTCTTACTAAGATATTTATTATACAGATATATACAGAAAGTGTAAGAGGAAAGGGGAGAGGGCACCGGCTCCTGCCGGCGGGCGGAGGTCACTGCCAGAGGTTGGCTATCCAGGGCCAACCTCCTTCCTAGGCAGCTGTTGGGGATTAGCTGCATCCCGACAGTACCACCAAATTAACTTCAAGTAATTTTTCTAATTTTGAACTTACTTCAACTAAATAAGCGATAACTATTCAAGGATCGATAATTGGATAGAACGGGAACAATGCTGCGCTTCTGGCGCTTTATCGGGTTTATAAACAGTTTTTAGTAGTAACCGTAAATGAAACTGTGTTGTTCCCGTTTTGTGAATGGGAGACGGCTATGAGTTCGAGGTTATTGTTAAAAGCAATGTTTTGTTTTCTGAACAAGAAACTTTAAAATAATCGCTCGGTTTGAAATTTGAAAACAGAACTAAATGACAGGATCATCAAAAACTTAAGAAGACTAAAGCGTTATCCTCATTGTTCCATGAGATAAAAGAAAGCTTTGAGCAAGCTCCACGCTTAGTAACGAATTCTGTAGCTTCATAATAGCTCAAGGTTGTAATTCTTAAAACAGTTTTACATTAAGTAAAGAATTCGATTGTTTTTATATGATAACTACTGTTATATTATTTGAGAAGCAATTTTTCTAGAATCCAGGTCCAGACAGGAAAGAAAAAAAAACGGAAGATCTCGGAGTGTAGTATGCAGCGATTGTAAACGCAGTTTTGCAAATCAGGATTTATCTCATCGTCAGCACATTTGTACTTGACATAACATACACTTGCGTGCAAGTACATGTCGAAAGCGCATTAGGTCTCACGTGTGTTAACCGAACCTATCTCGATAAACTCTAAAAAAGATCAAAAATATAATCTCAATATGACCTTACCGGGCAACGTAACTTTCACAAAAATTGCTTTACGCGATAGATCGCAGAGGTATAAAATAGAGAGATTGCCTTATCTGCTCAACTCAGTTTCATTTGTATCTTTATGGTTATCAGTTCCAGCTGTTGGCTAACCTATCCACTGATGATTTTAGCTGAATACTTTAGCTTTTGGAGTAGCGTGCAAACAATTGCATTATCTTTGACATGCATATGTTCTGTGATTAGCTAAGTCTACGATGGCTCTACCTCTACAAGTCAATTAATTAATGCATTCATTCACATTTATTGTATTTTATAGAATGAAATCAAACCAGTGTCATGCTTGAATCCATGACCGTTGGACAATAACATTTTCATTCATTTTGGAAAAATTACATTCATTCAGAAAAATGTTTACGCTTCATTTTACAACATTCCATTATTATTGTTTTTTTCTAAAACATTAAACGGCTGTTTTCAGAATGCTATCAGCAAATCTACTCTTCCTACTGCTCCCGGCGTGTGACTTCGCAACACCATGTGCTGGTGACGGGGAAGGTTACTATTTAGCGTCAAACGGCTCGTGTGTTCGGCACACAGACCCGTCCGATTTGCCACCCAACGAGAAGGTATGCGACCAGTTTTTCTGCTAAATGCGCTAGAATTTGAAAGAAATTGTATTTACCTTGCAGGAAGATGCAGCGGTAACCGAGAAGCCGACTCCTCCGACCTCTGCGGCTCGTGCACGCCGTGCTGCCCCTGCAGCTCCTCCTGTTGTCCATCAAACACGGAAAAAAAGAAAGCGCAGTGTACCGTATTGCAAAAACAGACCGAATCGGAAATGCCGTAGAAGACGCCTGCGCAAAAAAAGACAACTAAAGAGACAAGGATTATTCAAACCACTTCCTCCGCTAAAACGCAAAAAGTAAATAAAAACAGAGTAACCCTCAACGTCATGGTTTGTCGAAATTTGCGCCTCTTAATTTATCAGCACCGATCCCAAAACTCCCTAAACTTTGAGATGCTGCTTGTACATAATGCATATTTCATTTTTACATATCAGTATTAGTTGTTTATAAACATTAGTCTGAACTTCTGCAGACAAGTTGAAATACTGTGACTATGAAACTCGAAATCGCTTTGCACACCTTGTCTAAACAAGCTCGACTTGTTCTTCTCAATCCAAATAGCAAATATCCTTGAATTGGATGGACTGTTAGTACAAAACTGCTAACAACAAAATCAAGAGCTTTTTTTTACTCAATGTGTGCGCGTCTCTGAATTAAAGAATAGATGTCACATGCAGCGGTCTGGTAATGGAGCTCGATCGTAGCTTGACTGTTATTGTCTTGGGGGTAGTTAGTCCAAAAATATTAGATAAGTTGCGAGGTGTAACCACAAAGAGTGCAAAGCGTGTGAAAGAAGAGCAGAAAAAACGTATTTACAATTCTGCGCGCAAAATAATTACAGATTTTCACCGCCAAGAACGTATTGGGGCTCAATTCAAACTGGCAATTGTTTGGCTGCAACAATTTATTAGGTTGTAAAGAAAGTTCCCGGGCACTTTTGGAAATTTCATTTTCAAACGCATTTTTTCGGCGCTCGGTCGGACTTTGACACTAAGTGTTGTATAGTGTTCAGTAGAGCGACGTAAATTTTCAATACGCCTTTTGATTCTCAGACAGCCGATCGGACCCCTCCGGCGCAGAAATGGCAGGGCCGCGGGGTTTCCCCAGCGGTGGTCTGCCACTCGTGCGCCGGAGCCCTCCGATTTTGTGCGCCGGAGACCTCCCATTTGTGCTCCGGAGCCCTCATTTTGTGCCCCGGAGACCTCCCATTTTGTGCTCCGGAGCCCTCTTTGTGCTTCGGAGCCCTCCCATTTTGTGGTCCGGAGACCTCCCATTTGTGCTCCGGAGCCCTCCCATTTTGTGCTCCGGAGACCTCCCATTTTGTGCTCCGGAGCCCTCTTTGTGCTTCGGAGCCCTCTTTGTGCTTCGGAGCCCTCCCATTTTGTGGTCCGGAGACCTCCCATTTGTGCTTCGGAGCCCTCCCATTTTGTGGTCCGGAGACCTCCCATTTGTGCTCCGGAGCCCTCCCATTTTGTGCTCCGGAGACCTCCCATTTGTGCTCCGGAGCCCTCCCATTTTGTGCTCCGGAGACCTCCCATTTTGTGCTCCGGAGCCCTCTTTGTGCTTCGGAGCCCTCTTTGTGCTTCGGAGCCCTCCCATTTTGTGGTCCGGAGACCTCCCATTTGTGCTTCGGAGCCCTCCCATTTTGTGGTCCGGAGACCTCCCATTTGTGCTCCGGAGCCCTCCCATTTTGTGCTTCGGAGCCCTCCCATTTTGTGGTCCGGAGACCTCCCATTTGTGCTCCGGAGCCCTCCCATTTGTGCTCCGGAGACCTCCCATTTGTGCTCCGGAGCCCTCCCATCTTGTGCTCCGGAGCCCTCCCATTTTGTGCTTCGGAGCCCTCCCATTTTGTGGTCCGGAGACCTCCCATTTGTGCTCCGGAGCCCTCCCATTTGTGCTCCGGAGGCCTCCCATTTGTGCTCCGGAGCCCAAGATTTCCTTTTTTGATGTGCCGGTCAAACACGTCTTGGCATCGATAGAAACTCAGACAATCGATCGGACCCCTCCGGCGGACAGTCGAAATCTGCCAGAGCCGCGGCGGACCCAGTTGACCAATGAGAGCGGGGCGAGGGGGCGGTCCCTTCTTGTGACGTCACAAAGAAGGCAGATCGGACCCCTTCGGCGGGCTTGCAAATCGTTCCGCCGCGAGTCCGCCAGATTTGGACGAGCCGCGGCGCAGAAAATCGGAGCGCTCCGGAGCACAAATGGGAGGTCTCCGGAGCACAAAATGAGAGGTCTTCGGAGCACAAATGGGAGGCCCCGGAGCATAAAATGGGAGGTCCAACCATAAAACATTTCGCAATTTTTCTTCATACGGTCATTTTTTTTGCGCAGTTCAAAGAATCTTGTCTAGATCTTGGGTGATCTGATTGAGAAGCTTGTTAACTTCTGACTTGCAGCTGCACTCGAGTTTTGCGATTTGTGCCCAGAAATTACAAGCTTCAAACTTGCTTTAGACTACAACTCTTTTCGCAACTGGCGTCTCTTCTGCGGGGATCGTCACGCCTGGATGATGGGTCCAAAGGATGTGTAAGGCATTACCCCAAAAGTGTTCGCAGTAATCAAAGATTTGGTTTGTCCCGTGCAGAAAGAGAAGATTTCAAAATCACTTACTCGAAAATTGATGCATTTTTAGGAGCAAAAAATGGTTGGTTTTTCAAACATTCTGGAAAAAAAATTTTTGCATGTGCTCCTGCGAAAAAATGAATGGTCCTTATAACAGCCCCAGCAGACCGATCTCTATATAACTACAGCATCTGGGCTCTCCAGCTTTCTACCTGGCTGAGATAATCCTGCACAAATGGGCTACTTTTCGCGACGTCCTTTATTCTTTCTGCGCATGCTGGTGGACCGCAGTGAGGTGCTGAAAAGTCAGCAAGACAAATATATGTTGTGGACAAAATGTCTTTGCAAGGAACTTTGTGGCTTTGAAAAGGAATCAATCTGCTTGAAGTTACAGCGATTTGAAAAAAAATTTTCGCAAATGCCCGGGAACTTTCTTTACAACCTAATAGTATTCAAAATAATGCATTTCTTCTCCAAAGTTCCATGCAAAATTGTGATTCTTGTTCCCATGAATCTTATGCTGCAATACAACATGAGCGCTTTCCTGTAATAGAGTCTGTTTGCAAACTATCCGTTGGACATACAGCATGTGTCAGCCGTGTACTCCCTTCTCCATCAGCGCAAACGCGCAAAAATTCGCGTCACGTTCGAGGCACATCGTTGGCCCCATGCAAGTGTCGCATGCAAGGCCCATGCGCGGTGGATATGCGTTATTTTTAGGCAGAAGTGATTACTTAATTGTAAATACTGTAGTTGTGTTTCTGAGCCTTGACCCGAGATTGTTAACACTTTATTGGTTGACGTTTCGGCAAGTCGCCTTCTTCAGAGCCGTTGAAAATTCAACGCTCGCTCTGGCATCAGAACTCTATCGGCGTGTTCAAAAGGCTCTGAAGAAGGCGTCTTGCCGAAACGTCAGCCAATAAAGTGTTAACAATCTTGGATCAAGGCTCAGAAACACAACTACAATATCAACTCCATGCCGAGATTCATAGAGAGTCGCACGTTCCATTGTAAATACTGTACATCCGAACTGGCACAAGCGCAAAGCATTTATGAAATCTTGACTATGGCTGCGGTCGCGTGGGTCTATGCATTATCGGCAACCGATCTTGTTTCCTCATCAGTCAGATCATTTTGTTAGCATATGATAGCTTCTGTATGCCACCCTAATTTTACGCGTAAGACGCGCTTATTCGGTTTTTCAACCGCGCAGCTCAGCCGCCTCGTTGTGTCTCGGAAAACGAGACTTATGCCGCACGACACTCTCAGGCAACATGCAGCACTGTATAGTTTTCTGGTTATGAAGTCCTTCGGCGTGTCTGTGCTGTTCAATTTTAGGAAAAAAATCCCTTTCCGCGCGTAAAATGCGCGTAAAATCAGGATAACATGATGATTTCGTTTTGATGTTTTACGTTTAGATGGGCTCATATACCTTACTGGCGGGTAGAGGGTGTCATATAGCCAAAAAATGAGATTGTGGACATCTTCAACAACGCGCATACTGGCGTAATGCCCTCTGTGCGCTATTAGCATTGATTAAATTTTGTAACGCACTAAATTCATTTATTAAGTTCATAAAACTGCATGAGAACCGCAAAAATAATCATAATGAAATAGCACCATATTTCGGAAGTTTATTTTTTTAGCATTAGGGTTTTTATTAGCACTCGTTTTTTCATGGCTTACTCAAACTAAAGCGTGTCCGGGCAAAAACTCGATTTTGAGATTTTGTGCTTATCCGGGCCTACTCGCTATGCTGAATCCGAAAATCCACATTGGAGAGCGCGAAAACGACGAAAAAGGGCTCTAATACTGGAGGGAAATCAGCAAGTGGGCGGGGTCTTCCCCACGGTGAATTCACGCTCCCAGCTTCAAGGGCGATCTTTTTGATTCCGGTTTCAGGTCATTCGTTTGCACTTGATCGGTAGTGATGTCAGGGCGGCTAACGGATCCGAGAAAATTGCTCTGGAAGCTGGAAGCGTGAATTCACAGTGGGGAAGACCCCGCCCACTTGCTAATTTCCCTCCAGTGTTAGAGCCCTTTCTCGTCTCCAATGTGTTTCGGATCAAGCCTAGCGAATAAGCCCGGGTAAGCACAAAACCTCAAAATCGAGTTTTTGCCCGGACACTGCCTTTAATATTCAATTACTGTTTCTTCTCAATACATACAGTCTGCCCCAATCCTAGCCAGGCCAAATTCGGCATGGCGGGAGTCCGCGCCGCAAGGGTTTCGCGCCACATCTGCGGTTAGCTAGTTTGCTCTCTCCTCTATCTCTTCACTCTCTGCGACAGCGCGCGTATGCAGCGCGATCCCCTAGCGCTGCGAGCGCGCAAATTCAGCCGAACTGATCCCGATTAGGGCAGACTGTATGCATGTCTTTCGTTGCCAAACAGTTAATTAGGTTTTTCGTGATCACTTTCTAGCACACAGTATGCACCTTATGAAAATTGTACGAAGAAATATTGTCACCTGAAACGCGCTCGGTTAGAACCTCCGATAAATTTAGTGACAGGTGCTTGCGAAGCTGAATACCACCACCACTTCCCTATTATTGTTAACTCCATTCGATAAGTGGGGCCATGTACCCAGCAAAACCGAAAAATTCCGTTTTTTTGACGCTAAGAAGGTTTTTGTGAAAGCTCCCCACACAATTAAAGACTCAACTTCTTTTGATACTAAGATCGAGTCCCAGAAGTTCACGACAGCGGATTTCAATAAACGAGAAACTAGCTCAA